TATTTAATAACACTACAAACTAAAATAATTAACTTCATATTTTCTAATGAGAATAACACACACACACACATATATATATATATCAGTTGGAGCACATTGATAATTACATTACACTATTTTTTTTTTTTTGAGATACCCTTTATGGGTGATAACAGCGCTATTGGAAGAATTTTTTTTCATGAATTAGGTAAACATAGACAGCCCTGCCGATAAATTAGGGTTATTACTTACCCTTATGCATAGGACTATTCAAGAGATGGCAGTTGTGTTTAATCTTGTGATATCTATAATGTTGATGATATGAGACATGAAAAACAATGGTACGAGAGATTCCATGACACTTCCATAAGAGTCTATTACAGATTGAACACTTGCACCTTCTCATTGGAAAAGTGATAGAACCTGTATAAGCCAATTCAGGATGGATAGACACACATTTGTGGTATTGTGTAATATGGTCTGTGATGTGGGGTGGTTAAGTTCAACTAAGAACATAAGTGTTGAGGAGATGGTGATGATGGTCTTAAGTATTTTAGCTCATAGTGACAAAAATNCCGTGATGTGGGGTGGTTAAGTTCAACTAAGAACATAAGTGTTGAGGAGATGGTGATGATGGTCTTAAGTATTTTTGCTCATAGTGACAAAACTAGATCAATTAAGTTCAATTTCCTTCGCTCGGATGAAACTATTAGTCGACATTTCAACAATGTGCTTACTGCGGTGTTGAGGCTAACCCTAACCCTACCTCGGGTTGAAAAACTCAACCCGAGCACTGCTCGAGTTTAATTCGGGCGGGCTCGGATTGAATTCGAGTTGATAATTTTGGGCTAATTTTGGGTTACTTAACGGGTTCAATTCGGGTAGAGTCCAAAATAGGCTTGTTATTCTAAATCTAATACATATATTACATCATATTCATCTAAATTAACAATCAATAATTTCAACTAAGTTTTTAACGAGAGAGACTGAGAGAACGAGAGAGGTAAAGAGAACGAGAGAGACAGAGAACGATAGAACAAAAATAAAAATTAGTGCTAATACTTTATATATATATATAATTTTTTTTTTAATTTGTCGGGTTCGGGTTGAACTCGGATTCATGAGGCCTTAACCCGAGCCCAACCCAAATTCAATTCTAATTAGGATTTTTTGACCCAAGTGCAACCCAAGTATTAAAAACCCTTGCCCAAGGCCTAATTTTTTCGGATTGGGCTCGGGTTGAATTCGGGTTACCCAACCCAAGTTGCACCCCTAATTGAGGCTACATAGATTATTGCTACAATCCCCAAATCCTATGCCGGTGAACAATATTGATAATACATGGAAATGGTTTACGGTAAGCCTAGTTTGACAAGGATTGTCGAAGTATGGAGTCGTGGGAGTGTTACTAACACATTAAATACGGTTTATACAAGATAAAAATAGGTTAGTTATAAGTTGAGTAAATTTTGACACCACACAATTTGAACACAATATTAACTTGATACGACACAATTTCCGAAAAGTCTAGATATAGTTGTTAAAGCTATCAATACAGATATATAGGAATGATTCAAGCACAAAGGTCATGTTTGTTTCATAGGATTGGGCTGAATAACATAGTTCAACTAAGAAAAATAGCCTCATCCAATGGCTGATGTTTTGTGTGAGTGGACTTGGGGCCCATCATTTGCAGCACCAAGGCCTGTATTCTATAGTCTCTTGAAGCCTACATACATAGCTTTTGATAAAACCCGAAGGTGGTGGGTTTCAAATGAGTGTAGGCTGGATTTGTCACCAATCATGTGCCTGCAGGTATGGGATACGCGTTAACCCTTACCTTTGACCATTTACATTTCTGCTTATTTGACCCTCCATGGTCCAACGGCTGTTTTAACTTTTGACCCTTATGTTCTGTTTGATGGAGAAAATGAAAAATAAGGAGGATATATTTTCGATCTTTTAAAGATGAAAAATAAAAATGATACATATTCCTTCTTTTATGTTTGGTTGGATGGATAGAAAATAAAAATGTCTAATTTTTTTTTGCTGGCTAAGATTAGAGATGACAATCAAATTGTGTCGTGTCAGATTTGTGTTGAGTTATAAAATTGTAAGTTTTTTATATTTCTTGTTCGCATGTCAGGTCATTTTCAAATTCGTGTCGACTTGTAATCATGTTCGTGTCGAGTTCGAGTCGTGTTGAGTCAAAAATTTTTATCCTTAATTAAAATAAAAAAATATTTTTTTTATTTAATATATATATATATATATATATATATATTTTATCATTGTATTTTTATATGAAATTAATGTATACATAATATATAGACAAATAAAATATATTTTAACATAAGTAATTAATTTTTCATTCACTTTCTTTTCGATTTTAGAGAGATTGATTTTGGTGAGTTAGAAAAAAAATTAATTCATCAATTTTTCCATCATTCCTTATCAAATATGATATTTTATTTATCTTTCTAACTTTCTATCCTTCTATTTTTCCATACCAAACGGAGCATTAGACCCGTTTTTCTCATGAACTTGAACATGTGTGGTCTACCCATAACCACATTACTAATTAAGTAGCGATATTCGTGACTAAAGTCACTGTATACTAATTTATTATAGTGTGCATGTATTAGAATGTGTTAGAGTGTGTATATGTATTTTTAGCTGTGTGTTGTAGAGTGTGTTGGATTTTTGAATTTTGGGGGGACAGTGTGTGTTGGGTGTGTGAAATTTTGGAGAGAAAAAAATATACCCCTATAAGTTTAAACACCTATTTAATTTATTATATAAATTTATTTCATTATAGAGCCATCCATGCTCAAAATAGCAGTCCTGGATACAGTTGAGATTAATCACTCTGTGCATATTGAGTCAACGATGCAATCCAAACACAATTTGTCCCTTCACCCTCTATTAATTATTAATGGGATCAAATTGGATAATTGTTGACACGTATTAATTTATTATTTGCATCTAATTTAAGGGTGTAATTCAATAGTTAGTGATGTCGGTTCATTTTTGTTTGAGTCTATATATTATTACATTGGTTATGGCCTTTAAGATAGGTTTTTTTTTTTTTTTCAACAGTTATTTTGATTAATTCTCTTATCGTTCTGATCAAAAGCAAGCCGTTCACGCCGTGACTAAAATATCATAAGGGATAAATTCCACATAACTTAACCCAAAGAATTATCAGGATTCAAATTCATGATATTTGAATTTATAATTTATCTCCGTCATCACTTAAACTATCTTTATAATTTTAAAGGTAGGTTTGAAGTCTAAAGAAAATGTAATTTGCTTGTGATTCACGTTTATCTCTGAATTCCTCTGAATTGACCTCCGAAACAACCTATCTTTTTCCAAACGAATAAGCACGGAAAACCCTAAAGCTGATGGCTTTTTTATTCGACATACACGGACCTCACATGTTGCTATCATACCAAAAGCATCAATAATATTTTTGAAATACCCAAAAATATGGAAGAAGAAATCACACATCTATATTATCAAAACAGAACGTCTTCCTTACATAAAACAATAACCACTCAGATAGGTTAAATTCGATAATTTATCTTACGACTTATATTTTAATTTTTTAACTATTATAAATTTTTTTATTTACATTTAATCTTTTAAAATTACAATAAATATTTTAACTCAGAAAACCTAGTAAATTTATATTGTAAATTTATTTTAAATGTAAGTTATAACTTATAAATGACATGATTAATTCCAAAATATTATAATCAATAATAAAAATTATAATTGTTTGAGAAAACTAATGATCGATCATGAATTTTCTTAATCAGTTATAATTTTACATTTAAAATAAAAATACTCAATTAGCAATCATAATGCATGATATTTTTATCATCAATTCATAGACGTTATATCATTTTTCACATTTTAATTTAATTTGTATATTCAATTTTAAATATTTGTGGTAATTGTTTCCCAACTTAATCATGATTTCCTTTTAATATTTGGCTTTAGGCTGCAAAACTGAAAATTTGAGATTTTATTATGGAAAAATTACTCTTTAACCCCCTAAATTACTTACTCAATTTCACTTTTCTCCTTTAATTTTAAAATTTCAAAGTGTCCTTCAACTACTGCTTGAATTTTTTCACGTTGTCCCATTCGTAAAAGTTTGTTATTGTTTTGAAAGAAAAATTGCAAAACGTGTCAAGACAAAATGGAAAAAAAAAAGTAATAGATTCGTAGACAAAATGAAATATCTATTTGTTAAATATGTAACAAATGTTTATAATTGGGGTGATGGGAAACTAATCACATAGCTGAGGGTATAATATTAAAAAATGAGAGTTAAAGGGGCAATGCTAAAGTAGGTCATAGTTGAGGGGAATCAAGTATAATTGTCCTTTTTTCAAAGCTTTTTAAGGAAATAAATTGTTAATAACCCTACCATTTTATGCATATTTAGACAAATCACCTCTGCCTCCAATAGAGTCCTGTGGATATGGTTCTCTCTGAATTATTGCTTCGAGGTTTCGCTTACCCCACCGCACAAATGCCTCTGTCTCTGCACCTTCCGAGTTCCTCCCGAGTCCCGACCTATCCCCTTCCTTATATATGCAACACAACCCTAAACATCTTTTTGTCCACAATTTCACCGCACCCATCTCACCACACAGTCGGTTCATCAGTTTTTTTTTTTTTTTCCCCACATATATTACTAAATCTACCTCTTTCCAAGAAACCTCAGATTCTGATTTGTTTTAGAAAGAAAGACAGTTGTTTTCAAAATTTCCAACATCTTCATCTATATATTTCCTTAATGGTTTGTGACTTTTCCTTACATTTCCAAATCCTTGTCGTCTTCCTTACTAGTTTGGCCTAATTATGTTCTAACCTTGGAGAAGCATTTCCAAACCATAGATACAAATACCTTTATTTTTTTGTCCATCTGTAGTTTTAAACCCCTAGATTTTATTTTGATTTTCGATTTGGATACACACCCATATTGATTCTTTAGGTTGTCAACTATGGCTATTGCATACCCTCATGTTATTAGGTCCGAGAAGGCCACGGTTGAGGCTTCTATGATGGTCTCAACACCACCACCATCTCGACCCCCGGTGTTTCTCAGCCAAGATGAATTGAAGAAAATTGCAGCATATAAGGCAGTTGATTTCGTTGAGTCTGGCATGGTCTTGGGTCTGGGAACTGGATCCACTGCCAAACACGCCGTGGACAGAATTGGGGAGCTCTTAAAGCAAGGGAAGCTCAAGAATATTATAGGAATACCCACTTCGAAGATGACCCATGAACAGGCTTTGTCTCTTGGAATTCCTTTATCGGATCTTGATACATATCCAGTTGTTGATTTGGCCATTGATGGCGCCGATGAGGTAGACCCGTATATGAATTTGGTGAAAGGACGAGGTGGGTCACTCCTGAGAGAGAAAATGATTGAGGGTGCTTGCAAGAAGTTTGTAGTGATTGTGGATGAATCCAAATTGGTTAAGCATTTGGGGGGTAGTGGGTTGGCCATGCCTGTTGAGATTGTGCCTTTTTGTTGGAAATTCACGGCGGAAAAGCTGAAATTGTTGTTTGGGGACGCAGGTTGTGTTGCAAAGCTTAGGACTTTCAAGGAAAATGGTGAGCCTTTTGTGACTGATAATAGGAACTATATTATTGACTTGTATTTTAAGAAGGATATTGGGGATTTGAAGGCTGCGAGTGATGCCATTTTGAGGCTTACTGGTGTTGTTGAGCATGGGATGTTTCTTGACATGGCCACTACGGTGATTGTGGCTGGTGAGCTTGGTGTCACCCTGAAGAATAAGTAGGTTCCAGGGGCAGAGGTGGATTTAGTAGATTTTGATTAGCTAACATAAAAGCTTATGTAGGGGTGTTGAACAGTTTTATATCCCCAGATTGGATGGGGGAGTTTTGATTAGAAATTAATGTACTAGGACACTTATTGGTGTTCTTATTTCAATTCATACCATTGTCGAGGGATTTTGCCTCAAATTTTGTTGGTATCTTGAGAACAAATTTATTGAGAATGCATTAAAACCTTTGATTTTTACTAGCACCGCTTTTTTATTGATATTGTTTATTGTGATTATCATGTGCTTTGTGTTTGTTCCTACTTTTCCCCAATAATTTCATTTGTTTTTTAGGCTTTTGCAGTCTCAGATGTATGGATGTGTTATTGAGCATGTTTCGTTGGTGGCATTCATCCTAATGGATCGTTCTGTCTTTTGCTGAATTCCTTGTCTTTCTTTCTGAAAGAATTTCAGGAGATTTGTTCATGTTCTTGCATCAATTGATTCCATGGTTGAGAGAATTGCTGCTAATTTTGTTGGTATCTTAAGCACAAATCTACTGAGAATGCATAAAAATCATTGGTTTAGTAAGAAGTTCGTGAGGTGCAACTGCAACTTCTTCTCTCTCTCTTGCCCCCCAAAAAAGGAGAGAGATGTCCCGTGCCTACTTTATGCACATCCATGTACATAATTCCAATAATTCCAATCGCATGTTAGTCACTTGGATTCTGAGAGGTAAGTATGTTTTATGGAGCCTTTTTCCTTGGCTTTATTCATCCTATTTGATTGTGCTGTCTTTGCTTTGTCCTGCCCTTCCGACTTGTTCCTGCCTTTTTGTAATAGGTTTTGATAGTTTTTTATGCTTTTATAGTCATAGATGTACAGTTGTGCTAATGAGCATCTAGGGTTGTCTGCATGCATCCTCCTATCAATTGTTTAGGATTTGTTGAATTGTTTGTGGTGCTGCTAATCAAATTTGTTCACTAATTTCAAGAATTTTTTTCATTTCATGCTCACTGAACTAACATTTTGCTAAGAATTAGCAGCATATTGATTCCATCTAAGGTGCCTATGAAGATCAAGAATATTGCTTTCATGCTTAAGTTCTACCCCTTAAGCATACTAATGGCCAAATTGCTAGGCATTGATTTTATTCGTGTTTAGAGTGTTTAGTTCATATCAACAGTTTACCATGAAAAAAGGTTGAATGTTGTTTCAAATGTATGCAGCAGAAACTCCTTCCCAGGGACTTCATACTCGTATTATCGTATATATGGATTATCCCCAGGAACAAGAGAACAAGATGATGACGAGACTCTTGGATATCTTCTGTTTGTACATTCTCTCTCATAAACACGATATCAGGCAATGCGGTGACTTCATTTTTGGTTGGTGCTGTGAGATTTGTGGCAACGTGCAGATGAAGATGAAGGTCTTTGTTTCTCAGTTGATTCTCTTAATTGCTTTGTCTACTTGTCTCAGCTCCATTTCAGCTCATTAAAACGCCAAATATTCTCTCAAGTTCATCTTAGGTTAGTAATTGTAAGTTCTTATTTTTATCTCATCATATTTCTGATTTGTGATTGGCTTTTTGTACCAATGATTGTTGAAACGGTTAGTGCTGAGGAATTTTTTTCCATGTTGTTGGGTATCTTAAAATTGGTTTTTGGTTTTTCAAGATTTGCACTTTTAATTTTGTTGTATTTATATGTTCAGTAGAAGAGAATTGGCTTGTGCCTTCGACGCTTGTGTATTTATGTATTCATGTAATCATAGTCGTGCAGGGACTTTTTGCATTCTTGTTATGCAACTGATCTGTGTGCTAATGGATATACTTGAACTGATGGGACCTTAATGTTTTTGAGAATTGGAATTGTTTTTCATGTCTCTAGGTAATGTGGGAATTGAGTTACTGATTAGAAAAGTGTGGGCCTGTTTAGTTTGATTTTCAAAAATTGTTTTTTTATTCTCAAAATTCTAAAAACAATGAAAACCAGTTTGGAGTCCGTTAAGAATAATAAGATAGCATATGTAAACTGTTAATAGTAAGAGGATGTATATGCAATTCTTATTATTGTAGGGTAACTATAAATACAAAGTGATATATGAGAGTTAGGTTAAGTTTTTTTAACCTATCGTTGTTCTCTCTAATATTGTGTTAATTTTACACACTTAACATGGTATCAGAGCGATTACGATCATAAATATATTCTAAATAAATTAATTATGTTTGAGGCATTGTGGTGGTGCCAGTGTTTGTCGAAGCGTGGTGGTGATGGTCTGTTTATGGTACTGTTGTGNAATTTCAAGAATTTTTTTCATTTCATGCTCACTGAACTAACATTTTGCTAAGAATTCGCAGCATATTGATTCCATCTAAGGTGCCTATGAAGATCAAGAATATTGCTTTCATGCTTANAGAGCGATTACGATCATAAATATATTCTAAATAAATTAATTATGTTTGAGGCATTGTGGTGGTGCCAGTGTTTGTCGAAGCGTGGTGGTGATGGTCTGTTTATGGTACTGTTGTGGTGTCGTTGCTTGTCAAAGCATCGTGGTGGTGGTGGTAGTACTGTTGTGGTGTCAGTGTTTGTTGAAGTGTAGCAGTGGTGGTGGTACTGTTGTGGTGATTGTGTGTCGTTCGCNGTACTGTTGTGGTGTCGTTGCTTGTCAAAGCATCGTGGTGGTGGTGGTAGTACTGTTGTGGTGTCGGTGTTTGTTGAAGTGTAGCAGTGGTGGTGGTACTGTTGTGGTGATTGTGTGTCGTTCACNTGTAACAAATGTTTATAATTGGGGTGATGGGAAACTAATCACATAGCTGAGGGTATTATATTAAAAAATGAGAGTTAAAGGGGCAATGCTAAAGTAGGTCATAGTTGAGGGGATTCAAGTATAATTGTCCTTTTTTCAAAGCTTTTTAAGGAAATAAATTGTTAATAACCCTACCATATTTAGACAAATCACCTCTACCTCCAATAGAGTCCTGTGGATATGGTTCTCTCTGAATTATTGCTTCGAGGNGCCATCGTCTGTCATTCGTCGTGGCGGTGAGGCTTAGTCGAAGATCAGGGTTGTCGGAGTTGCGGTGGTGGTGTGGCTGTTGTGGTGGGCTGTCGTTTGTAGTGGTGGTGAGGCGCAGTCAAGACAACAGTTCACTGAAACCCCTAATCAACGAACGAAGAAGACAAGGTCCAGATCCTTGTCCAGACCCAATCCACTTCGGTCTAACCTGGTCCTGATCCAACCTAATTAAATAGGGTCCAGCCTCCCTGGTTTAGCCTAGACCGAATCAATCCCGGTTTGGTCCCGGTTCAACGGTCTAGTGAGTGTGTGTAGTCCGGTTTAGATAATTTTGCACCGGTTCATACCGGTTTAGTTAGTTTTCACCCCGGTTCAGCAGTCCAGTGTGCCTAATCTGTCCGNCAAAATTTCCAACATCTTCATCTATATATTTCCTTAATGGTTTGTGACTTTTCCTTACATTTCCAAATCCTTGTCGTCTTCCTTACTAGTTTGGCCTAAGTATGTTCTAACCTGGGAGAAGCATTTCCAAACCATAGATACAAATACCTTTATTTTTTTGTCCATCTGTAGTTTAAAATCNCGGTTCACTGATCCAGCAAGTTAAACCAGCCCGGTTTAGTGGTCGGCTTAGTCTGTTTGGTTCAGCAGTGTACTTCCCGGTTTAGTGGTTCAGATGGCTTAATCTATCCGGTTCACTAATTTAGCAAGTTAAACCAGCCCGGTTCAGTGGTCCAGATGTCTTCCAGCAGCCTGTTTTCCAGCCCGGTTAAGTGGTGTAGAAGGCTTAGGCTATCCAGTTCAACATTCCAACAGTCCCTTTTTCCTCTAGTTTAGTAGTTCCTTTTACTCTAGTTCAACATTCAAGTAGTCTAGTTCACTTCTTGTTTGTTATTTGCTTCANCCCGGTGTTTCTCAGCCAAGATGAATTGAAGAAAATTGCAGCATATAAGGCAGTTGATTTCGTTGAGTCTGGCATGGTCTTGGGTCTGGGAACTGGATCCACTGCCAAACACGCCGTGGACAGAATTGGGGAGCTCTTAAAGCAAGGGAAGCTCAAGAATATTATAGGAATACCCACTTCGAAGATGACCCATGAACAGGCTTTGTCTCTTGGAATTCCTTTATCGGATCTTGATACATATCCAGTTGTTGATTTGGCCATTGATGGCGCCGNTCAAGTAGTCTAGTTCACTTCTTGTTTGTTATTTGCTTCACTATTATGAAACTCAAGCAAGATACCAGGTCCTTTACTCCATCTTTGCCTCCTCCGACTCTTATTAATGGTCCCATGACCTCTGTCAAACTTAATGGGACTAATTACATTTTATGATCCCGATCTGTTCAAGTTTTTTTCAAAGNTTTAGTAGTTCCTTTTACTCTAGTTCAACATTCAAGTAGTCTAGTTCACTTCTTGTTTGTTATTTGCTTCACTATTATGAAACTCAAGCAAGATACCAGGTCCTTTACTCCATCTTTGCCTCCTCTGACTCTTATTAATGGTCTCATGACCTCTGTCAAACTTAATGGGACTAATTATATTTTATGATCCCGATCTGTTCAAGTTTTTTTCAAAGCAAAGAATTTAAGAAATATTTGGTGAATCTAAACCCAAGGAAGACACTCCTAGGTATGATCAGTGGGAACAAGAGGATGTTCAAATTATTTTTTTACTATTGAATATCATTGAGTCTAGTATTAGTTCTACTCTGCTCTACCTTAACACTGCTAAAGAGATATGAGATCACTTGACCATTATGTATTCTGGTACATGCAATTTTACCCGAGCTTATGAGGTGTGCAAGGAACAGAGTACTCTGAGCATTGACGATTATTACTCTCACGTTTAGGGAGTCTGTGAGGAGATGAAGACCTACCATCCATTTACTACTGATGCAGCAGTTTGGCAGAAGCAACATAAGGACATGAATGTTGTTAGGTTTTTTGTAGGTTTGAAACCTGAATATGAGGGTATTCGTTCTTAAATTTTGGGTGGCTCTACTCTTCCCTCACTACTTGAGGTTTTCTCTTGTATACAGCGTGCTACTTTGTCTACTTCAGGTATCAATCATGGTATTTCCACTGATTGCTCAGCTTTTGTGGTTCTTAGTAGCCATAGTGATAGTCATCAAGGTGGTTATGGTGGTCGAGGAGGTCGTATGGGACGTCGTACGAGTGGTTGTGGGGATCGTAGTGGACCACGTTATTGTACTCATTGTGGTCGTGGAGGGCATACTGTTGATTTCTGTTAGAATTTACATGAAAAACCTTTTGGTACTGCGAATCAGACACTAGGTCTATTGCGACACCTCTATTGCGACTTCCATACCCCGGTCTACTCCACCAGACACTAGGTTAGTTACTATTACACGAGAGGAGTATGTTCAGTTCCTATCTTAGCAACAGACTGTTCTATCTCCCTCCACTGCTACTTTTGTCCAGTCAGGTATTGCTTATACTTGTTTATTGTCCTCCCCTCACAGTCTTCGGATCATAGACTCTGGCGCCTTTGACCACATGACTGGTGCGTCTGATATTTTTTATACTTATCAGTCTGCTACTTTTACACGTAGTGTTACTCTTACTAATGATACTTGTTTTAAAGTTTTTGGTTTAGGGACTACTCACTTGAGTCTTGATATGTCCGTATCTTCCGTGTTATTTGTTATTCATTTTCCTTTTAGTTTACTGTCAATTAGCAAGATTACTCGTTCTTTCAAATTGTTCTGTAACTTTTTATCCCTCTTATTGTGTCTTTCAGGATCTTAAGATGAAGGCGAAGATTGGTACGGGACATGATGCTAGTGGCCTATATTATCTTGACTTTGATTCACCTACCCAGGCTCTATAGGCCTCGTTATTTCTTTTTCAATGGTATTGTCATTGAGGACAACCCTCTCTCTAGAATTTGAAGCGCTAAGTTCTCAGTCTTAGTTATGTGTCGTCTTTTTCTTGTGAAGCTTGTCAACTTAGTAAGCATCACCTTGTGACATTTCAATCTAGAGTCAATAATCGTATGTCTAGTTCATTTGAATTAGTCTATTCTGATGAATGGGGTCCAATAAAAAATATTTAATCTAATAAATATCTTTATTTTGTGATATTTGTGGATGACTATTATCGCGTAACTTGGTTGTTTTTGAGGAAAGCTCGGTCTGAATTATTATCTATATTTGAGACTTTTTGTAAGGAAATAAAAACTCAGTTTGGTTGTCGTATACGTACTTTACGTTCCGATAATGTTGAGGAATATGAATTTGATCATTTTTCAGCTTATCTTAGTAAAACTGATATTATTCATCAAACTTTTTGTGCTTACGCTTCTCCACAAAATTGTATTGCTGAACGCAAGAACCGTCATTTGTTGGAAGTCACCCGTGCCCTATTATTCGAGATGAATATTCCCCGATATTATTGGAGTGATGTTGTTTTTACTGCTTGTCATTTTATTAATTGTATGCCATCATTTGTATTAAATGGGCAAAGTTTATATTCTGTCATTTTTTCTGGTAAACTCTTATTTTCCCCGACTCCTAAGGTTTTTGGTTGTGTCTGTTATGCTCTCAATTTGGGTCCTGAGTTCAACAAACTTGACCCTTGAGCTACCAAATGTGTATGTATTTCTTGGTTACTATCGCACGCAGAAGGGGTATTGTTACTAGTGCCGATGTGACGTTTGAAGAATCTGTTCCATACTTTCCAGCACCTTCTCAGCCTTTGAATCTGGACTTTGGATTATCTCCTGTACCATCGTCTCTTTCCTCCTCTTCAAATATGTCGTTGCCCATTGTGTTATCATCTACTTTACCTCTCCGTATCTATTCTCGCCGTCCTCGCACATCGACTGAGGTGCACATACCATTTTTTTTACCGCCTTCTGATTCTAATACATCAAGTAATTTATACTCTGTCTTTTGCTCTTCGCAAAAGTACTCGTTCGTGTGTTACTAATCATCTCATTTCTCATTTTGTTTTATATAATGTCTTGTCTCTTGTATTCTTCTGTTTTACTTTCCAATTATCTGCTATATCTATTCCTAAGCATTTACAGGATCCATTATTTGATTCGGGTTGGAGGAAAGCTATGGAGGAGGAGATTGATGTTTTACATCATAATGGGACTTGAGATCTCGTTCCTTTATCCCCTAGTAAACGAACTGTTGGCTGTCGTTGGGTGTATACTGTTAAATTTCATCCAGATGGTTCTGTGGAGCGTCTCAAAGCCCGGCTTGTTGCAAAGAGTTTTACTCAGACTTATAGTGTTGATTATGAGGAGATTTTTTCTCCTGTTGCCAAAATTTTCTCTGTTCGTATCTTGATTTCTTTGGCTGCTAATCTTTGATTGGCCATTGTTTCAGTTAGACGTCAAGAATGTCTTCTTACATAGTGATTTGGTTGAAAAGATNCCAAAATTTTCTCTGTTCGTATCTTGATTTCTTTGGCTGCTAATCTTTGATTGGCCATTGTTTCAGTTAGACGTCAAGAATGTCTTCTTACATGGTGATTTGGTTGAAAAGGTATACATGGAGCAGCCACCTGGGTTTACTACTCAGGGGGAGTATGGTAAGAGTGTATGTCGGTTAAAGAAATCTTTGTATGGTTTGAAGCAATCACCGAGGGCATGGTTTGGTAAGTTTTCAGATGCAGTTTTAGAGTTTGGTTTTCTTCGATGTCAGACAAANTCGGTTAAAAAAATCTTTGTATGGTTTGAAGCAATCACCGAGGGCATGGTTTGGTAAGTTTTCAGATGCAGTTTTAGAGTTTGGTCTTCTTCGATGTCAGACAAATCATTCTGTGTTTCATAGACAAACAGATGCTGGATATGTCTTATTGGTGGTCTATGTAGATGATATTGTGATTACTGGAAATGATTTTGAAGGGATTGCTAAGTTAAAAATATTCTTACAGAATCAATTTCATACTAAGGATTTGGGAAAACTCAGGTACTTCTTAGGTATTGAGGTGACTCAATCTAAACAGGGTATTTGTTTATCTCAGAGGAAATATGTACTTGACATGTTTGAGGAAACAGGTTTGCTGGGTGGTAGAGCGATTGATGTTCCTATAGATTTGAATAAGAAATTTTTGATGGATGATGGTGCATTGTTTGAGAATCTGGGTCGGTACCGCAGATTGGTTGAGAAGCTTAATTATCTCACTATTACTCGACCAGATATTTTCTATGCAATCAGTATAGTAAGTTAGTTCATGAGATGTCCTAGAGTACCACATTGAGAGGTAGTTACTCGTATTCTATGATATCTTAAACAAGCTCTTGGACTTGGACTATTATATCGAGTTAATGGACATTTTAGAGTGAAAGGTTTCTTAGATGTTGATTGGACTGACTTTCTTTCTGATTGGATATCAACCTCTGGTTATTGTATTTTCTTATGAGGTAATGTTGTCTCATGGAAAAGTAAGAAACAACCTGTGGTAGCAAGATCTAGTGTTGAAGCTGAGTATAGGGCAATAACACATACGACAAGTGAGTTGACTTGGCTACTACACTTCTTCCAGGAAATTGAGTTTTCAGTTTAACTTCCTTTACAGTTGTTCTATAACAACCAGCCAGTTATCCATATCGCTGTCAATCCTATGTTTTACAAGAGAACCAAACATACTGAAGTTGATTGTCACTTTATTCTAGACAAGATAGTAGTTGAAGAGATTACAACTCTACTTGTGAAATTTGAAGATCAGCTTGCAGATATGTTTACCAAAGCATTGAGTCTTACACGCCTTACAGCTATTTGTTCCAAGCTTGAATTATAAGATATATATATTCCAGCTTGAGGGGGAGTGTTAAGAATAGTTGGGTAGTATATGTAAACTGTTAATAGTAAGAGGGTGTATGTATAATTTTTATTATTGTAGGTTAATTATAAATACAAAGTGATGTATGAGAGTTATGTTAAATTTGTTTAACTTCTTTCTATTTTTTCTAATATTATGTTAATTCTCCTCACTTACCAGAGACAAAAGAAGGAAAAAGAGAAACACGGAGAACACCATTTGCTCATTAATGAGGTTTTCCCTTCAAACCTCCTTGGCAACAAATAAGTTTCTACTATAAAAGGAATTTTTTTTTGCCTTTTTGTCTCTATGTATTTTACCTTTATTTCTCCTCGAATATCACACACGCACTCTCTCTCTCATTGAGCTCTCTCTTCTCCTCCACTACTCTCACTATAGCCTTCTCTCTCTCATGCAATTCTTCTCCTTTCTCTCTCATGCAACCCATTTCCCCTCTTTCTATGTAGCAGATCTGTATATGTACAGTGATCTGTGTATATATATAGATCTGTATATATACACAGATCTATGTGTGTGTGTGTGTGTAATATTTATATGTTCAGATTTATGTGTGTATTCATAGATGTGTTTGTGTGTGTATATATATATATGCATATATGTTCAGATCTGTATATATACATATATCTACGTGTGTGTGTGTGTGCGCGCGATGGGGGTGTGTGTGTGTGTCTTTGCTGTTGGAGAAGACAATGCTCTCTCTCTCTCTCTCTTTCTCTTACGAGATCTGTACTCGGACTGACCTCTCTCGGAAGAATTTTGTAGTAATAATTTTTTTTTGTAAATTATATAACTAAATAGGTTTTGTAATATAAAAATATCAAAAAATACTTTCTTAAAACTTTTTTCATAAATTATTTTTGAATACTGTTTTTAAAGACGTAAATCAAACAAGCCCTGTATTTTGAGTGGAATCATTTTTGCATTTGTTTGGACAGTAAATTATCACCCCTTTGCAGTTGTGTTTTTTATGGTAAAAAAAGAGATGTTTTTGCATTGCATAGATGATTCTTGAAATGCTAAAACATTTGGTGACAATGAACTTATTTTTAATTTTTGGCAGTGAATTTTCAAGATTCTGATTTCTGTTTGTTATTACGTGATAATTTGTGCAGGAGAACAGAGTCTGGGGCCTTGGAAGAATGGAATCTTGAGTACGGCAGCTGCACAAGGGGCGGGGGCGTACAAGTGATGGACCTGTGAGCACGCTTGTGTTGGCAGAGAAGAGGACAAAGAGGCCGGACATTCTCCATGGTTTTGGGCGGTATCGAGGTGGATGGGACATTGCCAATAAGCATTACTGGGCTGTAAATTCTATTTTACTTTTTTTTCTTGTGCTAATTTGATAGGTTTGTTCGAATACCATATGGATGGTGTTTATTATAGGTTCTTGATTTTTTTGGATGGGTACTTGTTGGTATATGAATAGTGACACTTATGGACAGTCTGTCATCTGCATGATGAGTTGTGGAGCCAGATCAGAGGAATGGAAATATACTGGTTTCGTTGGCTGTAGAATTTTTGTTACATGTTCCTGTGCCGGTTTTGGAGTTTATCTCTTTGGTGTCTTAGTTAGTGCTTTAACACCAAAACCCTTAAGAGGCTAGGTTTGTCCTCTGTTTGTATAGAAGGACTTGTGTAAGCTTTGGGGTTTAGGTTAGGGGGATAAGAATATTGTCTCTGAGTCTCTTGGCGTGCGAGTGTTCTTCTGAGTTTCATCTTGTGTGTGTGATCTATACTTATATTGTCTCATTCCTTAATTGGGTTGAGGAAGCTGGCTCTTCCTTCTGCAACCTATCCTAAAATGGCACGAGGAGGATGATACTGGACCATAATGCACTTTGTAGCTTTGTCTCAAGGAAAGAAGATAATCATTTGGAGACTTTGTAAAAAGTTATATGGCTTTTTGATTGATAAGATTTTGCAATTGTATCTCCAATTGCTATATTCTTTGTTAATTTTATATATCTATATAATAAAATAACTTACAATTCAAATTTCAAAAGATAAACAAAATGATTTTTGTTATTCGCGATTGATATTGCTTTAAATTTTACTTTAAAATTAATCTAACGACTAATATTAACACCCTAAATTTAATAAGGAAAATAGGTCTCTAAGGGTGTGTTTGGAGTGACTTTTTAAAAATACTTTTAAAAATTATTTCTCATAAATATTTTTTGAAAAATAGTGTTTGAAATTGCCCCACCACTACCTCCACCACCACTACCCCCACCACCACCGCCGTCGCCACTACCACCACCACCGCCACCACCACAGCCATCAACACCATTGTTGCCACCACCACTACCGTAGTCTCCACCACCACCACCGTCGTCGCCACCACTATCGCCACCGCCACCTCCACCATTGTCGTCGTCGCTGTCACCGTCACCCTCACTATCGTCGTCGTCGCCGTCGCCGCCGCCACGATCATTGTTATCCACCATAACCATCACTGTCTCCTATCACCGCCACCGCCACCATGATCATTGTCACCTACAACAACCATCACCATCTCCTACTACCACTACTGTCGCCTACCACCTATCACCCCCATTACAACCGATACTTAAATTCATTTATCTCTCGTTTATGTTTGTGATTTGATTTTTGATATGAATACAAATATGTTTATTGTTTACTATTTTTTATTATTCTGTGCCTTCAGGCACAAGCAATAACTAGTATATAATAAAATAACTTACAATTCAAATCTCAAAAGATAAACAAAATAACTTTTACTATTTGCGGTTAAAATTATTTTAAATTTTAGGATTAATCACATTTTGCATCCTAAAAGATTGTTCAAATCTCAATTTGTACCCCAAAAGATCAAAAATCTCAATTTGCACCCTCAAAGATAGAATTTGTATCAATGTGCATCCCCAAAGATAAAAAATCTCAATTTGTACCCTCANAATTATTTTAAATTTTAGGATTAATCACATTTTGCATCCTAAAAGATTGTTCAAATCTCAATTTGTACCCCAAAAGATCAAAAATCTCAATTTGCACCCTCAAAGATAGAATTTGTATCAATGTGCATCCCCAAAGATAAAAAATCTCAATTTGTACCCTCAAAGATAGAAATTTGTATCAATGTGCACCTAAAATTAAATTGATAAATTATTCCTAGATCCCCTCATGTTTGTCATTTAATCATTTGAACTCCTTCACATTTAGAATATTCCCCTTACATCTCATGATGTTTATGCATGTGTAACACATAACCACTTTTCGTTGATATCTGTTAATATAATCGTTAAAAAATATGATTTTAT